TCTTTTTCTTTATTTTGTCAATTGATAGGAGAATAATTACAAATATGAAAAATATTAATATCATCAAATTGACTACTAATCCACAATAATTAGAAAGTTAACAAAATCTAATATAATCAATATATCAAGCCCAAACCTAAACTCAACAATCACTACTTACCACATACAATCCCCATAATAGGGGAGAAATAAATCACCACTACAAAGGATATCAAACTCCTCTCCATACAAATTAAACCCGAGATCTCATATTACAAAAGGTGTTACACAAATACTAAACCAATTGCCTGATTATCTGATCTTTTATTTCGTTCTAAAAGATATCATACTATATATAATTTAATGGTACCAAAAAAAACATATACACAATTTGCAACATTACTTATCCCCTATCTTCCTAAACTAAGGAGTGTTTGGTGTACGGTTAAAAAATTCACATTTTTTTTTTAAAATTTTGTTTAATTTTGTTTTTCAAAATTATATCAAAATTTTGTAATTTTTTTCCATATATATAAAAAAAAATTTAAAAAAAAAGAAGCGAAATTTTAAACACTTACTAAAAAATACACAACCAGACCATGCAAGCCGGACTCGTGAGTGAGACCTAGGAATATTTATTTTCGTGCATCCAATGAAACCCAAAAATTCTTCGCTCGTGTGGACAACATCATATATGTTATCGAATTTAAGAACTTAAAATATATATATATATATATATATATAAATTTAAGGACTTGCCACCATTGCTTGCCACTTGATTTTCCTTTCAACTTCCAAACACTTTCCTTCACGGGCATCTTGAGAGAAATCACAGCCCAAACACTCAAAAAGCTAACTTCCCAAACCAAAAAAAAAAAGTTTACTATTCATGTGATTTTGTAAATAATGAGAAATTATTCAATTTTTTGAAACGATTATCTATTTCATTTACTAATTGATACCTCTTTCTTTGTTTCTTAAAATTTTAACACAAAAGTGGTGAGTCTTACGGTTTAAACTAATACCTATTAATTTAAAGTATCATTTGAACTTACTCCAAAAATATTAAATAATTTAACTTGAGTTTTTACACGGCAAATTTGATATTAGTGTGACAGTTTTTTTAAAAAAATTAAAATTTATAGTACCCATGAGAATCTCTTTGGTACAATTCGGACACACAGGAAATACTTACATGAAAACAAACAAACAAAAATTGCATTCCATGAAATTTCCACCTTTTAATTCAATTAACTTACTTTTTAACTAATGAATTGAAATTTCAAATTTATTTTTTTTAATTATAATCAGACAAAGTCTTTAGTGTTGGGTTGTTTGTTATTGAAAGAATGTAAATGATTTTAGGAGTTTATGTTCCGTCATGTTTAGTTAAAAATTTGAAAAGAGAAAGAAAAAAATTAAGTAAAATATAAATAAAATTATTTCAAATATTTTTTTTCCTTTTTAAATTCTTCTTCAATTCTCCAACCAAACCCATGCTTAAGGAAAGCATTTCTCAACAAAATAGGGAATGGAGAGAGGGCTGGGTTAGGTTTGGTTTGGTTTGGCTTGTGAAGATTATTGTTAGTATTATAAAAAAACATATATTTATATATATGAATTACCGGTTGTCGGGTCTGCAACTGCAAGATTCACTTCTCTTCTAGGGCACCCCCACGCCTTAAAGTCAACCCCTAACCCTTCTTCTTTTTCTTCTTTTTAATTTAATTTTTAAATGTCTTTTTTTTTCATATACTATTATATGAAGTGAAAGTTGAATTTCGTATCTAAACTTTTGGTTGTTTCTCTTTATACTTTTCAATTTAAAATTTGGGAAAAAAAATCAGATAGATAAGAAGAGGGAGACTCAAATTTTAGACCTTAGGTTCAAAGAAAATGTTTACCACTTAAATAACATACAATATATATATATATATATATATATATTTGTGTTTGTGTTTTGATTACCCAAGTGTTTGCTTTTCTATTTAAAAAAATTAGATAAATGAAATAAGTAAGACTCAAATCTTGGATTGAATCAAAATAATTCTTGCTACTTCAGTAACGCACAATATATAAATATTTTATTTTATTTTTAATTACACACATTGTATATGTAACCACTAGTATATATATACGGAAAATTACAAATCAGTGAAACAGTGAAAGAATATTTATATTTTCATGGTGGTACAAATATCCTTTGTGCATAGTGCAAGTTATTCTTGTGTTTAGTGCAAATATTTCTTATATGTCAGAGTGGCACTAGAAATTTTCTTACCCATAATGCAATTATTTTTTCACTGTTCTATTAATTTGTAATTTCTCCATATATATGCATGAGAGAGTACGTGAAGCTATTAATGCAGATCCACCATCCATTGAGAATAAGCATGTCTGTCTTTTTCTCTTTTTCTTTTTCTTTTCTTTTCTTTCTTTATGTGCACCATCACATTATTATTTATTTATGGTCGTCTCTTGTTGCTTGATGTCGTTGTCCACATCATCATGTTTCATGCATATGTTTATGTTGTATGGTATGATGTTTAAGGCCATCATGATTCATATGCATGTATTCTTGGGGATGGCTCTTCACTGTTTTCTATATTTTATTTTGTGGGTTCTATTTTGGATCTAATGATCTGAATCATTCATCTCGTAAGTTCAACACTAAAAATAAGTCGTGGATACAATTAATTTCATCACATATCATTAGACATATGAATAAATTATATTTTATTTTTTAGATAGAGGACAACTATAAATTTAAACTTAAACCAACTAATTTATAAAATAAAATATAATTAGAAATTAATTTTTTGCACATATAATTTTTACATGAAGTTTACAAAATGTACAATACAGATCATTGTGTACTCAGAATAGGACTCACAAAATAAAGTATAAAATATGGTGATATGCGGAAAAGTCACTTCTGTATAGTCATTACATGATTGAACTCTCACATTTGATGCCTTGAGGATTCAATGAAGTTTCCTATTCAATTACAATTATTCTGGATATTACCCATGTTTCATTAAATTTAAATTTAAATTTATACCGTTTTAGATTAGTTTTTAAGACAAAAACTCATGGTAAATAGCATTTTCCTTTCATATTAGGTATGGCAAATAGCATTTGATTCCTTGAGGCTTCATGAACTTTTTTTTTTTTTTTTTTTTTAATTTAGGATTGGAATCTAAAAAATAATAAATTTAATTTTTTTAAAAAAATCACTGAAAACTAAAATAAACCAATTTACAAGTTGAAGGCAAAGGAACTGCTCCCATATACAATTCACAACTACTCTCATACACAACTTATGATTATAATATACTATATAGCATATGAAGAAATATATATATTCCCACCAATATTAAGTGTCATTTCTTACCTACGTTGAAATATTCTAGGTCGCAAGATCAAGCCAATGCGAGATTTTCAACCATTGAATACATGAAAGTTGGTGAGATCCATTGGTTAAATTTGCATTCATTAATGTACAAATAATATAATAAGAATGTCCCAAACTTGTTATATTTGTTGATTAACCATTTTTTTAAGCTTGGTTTGAGTAACCTAATAAACGAATGCTTGGACATAAAAAGAGAATATTATTAGAATAATTTCAAAAATTAAGTTGTGACAAAGGTATTTTTCGTCTCCTTAATAAGCATTTTTTAAGGCCCACATCAGCGACATTTTACCTGCCATCAATCCTTCTCCCCGCTAATTAAAGCATTGATCGTGAAATGGTAATTAAAAAATAAAATTTGAAGAAAAAAATGAGTCAACTTTATTTTAAATTGAAATTTATTTTGTTATTGTAAATAGTACACAACGTATGCCACGCGAAACACAAATAGAGAGAAAGAGAGAGAGAGAGGACTACATTAGTGACTCGCTCAAAATATTTGACTACATCTAAGACTAGTTTTTCAGGAAGATATTGTTGGATCTTGGCAAATAATAAGTAATTAAGGCTAATTATTTTAAGATAATTACTACCATTCACTATATCATATTATATTATATATAGTATGGCTATTTCAAGGTTGTGCTCTTTACGTAATCCATAGATTCCATGTTTTGCTCGTGGTGCCCAGTATTCATTTTCCCCTAAGGCTAACGCTGTGTTTGTATGCTGTAGTTAGTTTGGAGATTTGAAAAAAAATAAATGAAATGTATATAAAATATATTCACATTTTACTTAGTTTTAAACATCTTTTCTCTTCTTTTTTTTCAAATCTCCCAATTAAACACAACGTAAACAAATCAAGTAAAATAATAAATTGTTTAAATTTGATTTAAAAACTTAACGAATTTTAAAATATATTTAAACTTATCTTTTTCACTTTTAAAAAAAATTAAAAAAAAAACTCAAATAATTTTTTAATTGAGCTAATCACAAATTTACTCTTTTTTTTTTTTTTGATAGATAATAACAAATTTACTATTTTCCGTCCTAAGAACTAAGAGCATCCACATCAAGCTCTCTACAATAGGTTCAAAGCTATTGTAGAGAGCATCAAAGCTATTATAGAGAGCATCAGCATCAAATCCTTCCTCCATCAGCCTCAACAAATTTTTTGAAAATTAACGTTTTGTTAAATTTGCTGCAGTAACTCGTCTGACAAAGCAAGCAACTGTTCACCGCTAAAACACGCAATTTGAGTGCAACCAAACATCCGCCTAGAAGTTCGGTCAAACGTCCGGCCGGTCAACCGGTCAACGGCAATTTTTTTTTTTTCCCCCTCCAATTTTACCTTTTGTAAAACATAAGAATTGTTTGGTTGATAGCCCATCAATTTTTTTATAAAAAAAAAAAAAGAATAACAAATATTTTAATAGGATTAAGTTAAAATAAAGAGTTTGATTAAAATAGAAAAATGACTTTTTAAATTATAATTTGACTAAAATTTTGAAGAGGCTAATACCGATGTTCTAACCATATGATTATAAAATAACCATAGATTATGAGAGGAGTCAAGGCATTATAGCTATTAAACATCTGAGTCTAATCCAGAAAACACATAATCCATGGGAATATAGATCACATAGCTTGACAGTGAAAGAGTCCATTTCGCCCAAATCAATACAATTTTATTTTTCTGTCAAAAGAGACGAAGAAACCAAAGAACAAAGAAGGTCGCCTTTTTATTTTCTCTCAAATTCAAGAAGAAACAAGCATGTGGAACAGAAAACATATAATTTTCAAAGTATGTCACCATTACCTACAAACGAATGGGGTACAGTAAGATCCTTTGAAACTGTTTGGAAGTCTTGACAATTCCATTTGTTTCTCCAACCAATCTGAACCAAAGGACAACCACATTTATACTGATACTTCACTTCTTGTTTACCCGTATTCCCGCTTCACTAGAAATTACAAAAAACCATGGAGCCATCTAAATTGATCTAAATTGAGATGCTCAGAGAAGAAACAAATTTATCAAATGGTTCTGAAAGGCCTCCTATATTAACTCGATCTTGCTGGAAATCAAACAAGGATAAAAATGACTCGCTCCAAATCTTATACTGGTGAAGAGAAGCTAAACTGCACGCCAGTCTTCCCACGGTCATGCTCAAGTTGTTTCAGTATGTAACAATAGTTAACCTGACAACAAAACCAAAAACATCAGTGAGAAAGTTACTTGGGATTAGTTCTGGTAAGTTGACATCTAAATAAAGTTCAGGAAAAAAGTCACTTTTAAGAAACTGTAGCAAACGCGTGTTTCATGCATCGACGATTTAATTGAATCCCAAAGGATCTTATCAACATAAAAAGTTCTCAACAGACATAACCAGCAACCTGATGACATGTTTCAACAATGTTTGGCGTATAGTCCTCTCAAACAAATGTTGCAGAGGGTTGCCAAAGACAATCTACAACAGTTATAACATTTCAAAAACTGCCTTAAACACCTTGCCATGTGTGACATCATAATTCCTTTTTCAATCCTATAACAGCCTGTTCAATTGTCAGGAACATCATACAGGAAAGTAGTTTATGAGAAAAGTAAGTTCAAGTAAAGAAAAGGAAAATATAAAAGATTTGTGTTTTCCACCAACTGTATAGTTTACAAGAAAGTTCGTAGGAAAATTGGTTTTTAACTTTCCTGTGATGCATAGTCCTCTTTTTTTTTTTTTTTTAAACAGGAGAAAGCACTAGAGAAAAATATATTTCTTTAGAGAAAACAGTTATAGTGGGTCAGGTTCCGCACTTCATTGCAACAATTGAATACACATACGATGAAGGAAAACAGTATTTATTTTCTTGTTCCTTCCTTTTCCCATCACAAGGGTCCCCTGCTGCTCAATATAAATATCTCGGGAAAGAAACTGACCTCCATACGAAATAGTTTAGTGGGTATAATGATCCCACATCCTACAGAGCTTCGGAAAGAATCACGGAATTTCTTGAAAGAAAAATCTCGGTATGCATTCTCTGTTAATTTGGTGAGGTTACCAGCACAAGCGAAAAAATGTCCATGGATACCAGCTTCTTTCAACACCCTCAATGGAAGATCAAAAGAAAGGTCCGCAAAAGCAGTAACAGCAAGGTCACCACCAAGAAAATCCCTTCCAGAATGAGTGTCAGAACTTTCGACATTGGAGTTTTCTGTAATTTCTCTCCTTGGCTCAGTAGGGCCCAGTCCCCTTGACTTAAAACCCAAAAGCGTTGTTGGGCCTCCCAACGTGCAAACTGGAGTAGTATTGCCACCCAAGAAGAATCTGTCAGGTAGGAATGAGGGCCTATTCAAGAATCCACTTCCCCACGGAAAAAGAACACCACAGGAGACCCCAAAGTTCAGAGCAGCATGATAAAAACCCAAAGGAAAAGCATAACGAAGATCGAACTCCTGTTGACAAAACCCAAAAAAACATATTACAGTAACAGAAGTTTGTTCAGCACTGGCTGGATAAATGCAAACGTGTATGAAGCAAGGTTACATCAGGTTTCCTATTTCACCATATTGGGTAGAAGCATCAATAAATGGGGCAGGATCTTGGTTTCAATTCTTGCTGGTCAACCAAACACATAAAATTACAAAATATGTCCGATAAATAAGAAGTTACGTCTCACATTATTAAAAAGCTAAGGAACCATAACAACAAAACAACCAAGTGAGCCAATTACAGTCCAAATAAAAATAGATCAAAACAAGCTACACTGTCACTGGAAAGTGAGTCTATCACTTCCCAAAAGAGAAGTCAAACTCTGAGTCAAAGAAGGCAACAATCAACATTAACCAATGGTCACAAATGTGTTTTTGTTACATAACTTTGTATAGAAAGACAACAATGTGTTCAGTGAGTTATTCCGGTATGATGCCACTACCTTCAGTAGTCAGGGAAGTCTCATGTTAATAGGCCGTGAAAAGTTTGTAGGGACAAGTATTGTCTCTGCATAACTAGAGGAGCATAATCTGGTACAGTAATTAAAACCCCTGGAACATGGCATGAAATGTAATTAAATCCATGCTCTACAAAATTTGGCTATTTTAACTTTTCTCAATGATATATTAAGGTTGTGTTTAGATCATGGATTTGGAAAGGAAAAGGAAAAGGAAAAAAGTGAGCGAAATGTGAATAAAATATAAGCTAAAGTTTTTTCTCCATTTCCCTTTCCCTTTCCCAATGCCTCTTCAAATCCATAATCCAAACATAGCGTAGAGAAAAAAGAAAAAGAAAAAGAAAAGCCACAACACTAACTGCTACATTCTTCACCCCTCTTAATAATCACTAGTATCCTTTAACAACATAAATCCAACTCCAAGAAGTTACACAGTTAAAACCTGTATACCAATTACTTGTGGCTGGCTGCCCGCATCCCTCCCCACCATTTTAGCTATATCTAGGACCATATCTTTATTAAAATTTTAGCTCTCATATCTTTACTCACTCCCTTAACTTAGACTTTCTTTGACCTTCCTCTTGTCCTTGAAGCATTTTCAATTGCTTCATACAGCTCCTCCCATTCAGAGTATTAGCCTATGCTGCACAAAAGTAAACCATTTTAGACTAAGCTTTCATCTTGTCCATACTTGGTTCTCCCCCTCAAAATCACAAAGTCTGTTTATCACTTCAGTCTTTTCTTGTGGTTTCCTGCAAACATGAGGCCCATTCACAACAAATGAATCACAAATCCTAAAAGCACACTGCACCCCTGCAGGAATGAGTAAGAACTTTTTACGGGTAAATATGCTCTACAGCCTCTTATTTCCTATGTGAATGCCTACATAGTACCGAGCAAACTCGTGGCTAGAATTAAACTTTCTGAGACATTGGAAAGTTGAAAGTGCAGCATCTGCAAATGAAATAAAAGAACTTGGATAAGATTAATTTTTGTAGTTACAAAATTTTATTTAAAAAACAAATAAATGTTTTAAGGAAAAAAAGGAAGAACAGAATATCATGTAAAGTGAAACAAAACAAGCCCAAAATCTGTTAAGGATCAAAGCATAAGCTTTTTTTCAGTTCACATGAGAAGATAAACGATTCAGGATTTTAGGATAGAAAAACAGAGCTGTAGTATAATAGAATTTTACTAGCTAAGAAAGTTATGTAGCTTAAGAAATTCCCTAGCACAAACTCAAAACATCAGGTACAAGGCAAGTTAGAACTTCCTTTTGTATAAAGCCACACTTCTTTTCGGCGAATTTTGAATAGAGACTTTTTTATCATAAAAAATGTCATCGATGAATAAAGTTCTCTTAAATGTACATCATCATTATTTACCCAAAAAAATGTTCATCATCTTTATTGATTTCTTACAGTATAAAGTAAAAGGATAAACTACCAATAGATCCTAATAGTTGGACTTAATTCCTATCAAGTCTTATTGAAAATAAGTCCTCGTAAAATCATCGCTAAAAGTAGTTTTTTATAACGATTTTTCACATGCTAAAAATTAACAATTAGTGACTTTTTTTTGTCATGATTTTTATAAATTGTCGCTAAAACTTATAGATAGTGACGTTTTTCTGTAAAAAAAATTTCAAACTGTCGCTGAACGTTGAAAATTAGTGACTTTTTTTGTGACAATTTTCTTAAACTGTCGCTAAAACTTATTAGTGATATTTTTTGTGACGATTTTTAAACCGTCGCTGAAAATTAACAATTACTGACTTTTTTTAATAGTATTTGATGAAAAACGCCATTAATTATCATAGAATGTATTAGACAATAAGTCTACCTATTAGGACCTACACGTAAGTCCCCCAAAATAAAATATGTAATAACCTCAAGATTCACCACAGGCCTTACAAGCCAAGTTCTACATAAGGGTGGGAATCATGCAATGTTGGTCATTTTTGTGCCGTGACCAAGGTTAAGATCGGGATCCTACATAAGATCGTTTTGGGGGTCTGTCGGATCGGATTGTAGGATCCGGTTGAGAATCGTAAGATCCTACTAAAATGATAAAAAAATGCAATAATTTTTATATGACTTAATACTATCAAAATATATATAGAATGAGCCCCAAAAAAAAAAAATATATATATATATATATATAGCAATTTAAGATAACATTCAAACATTTTTTTTCCCAAAAAAGAAGTCAAAAACATAATAAAACCAAATACAACACTTGCACACCATTGTCATTATTTCTTAATGAAAACAAGACAAACTAAATAAACAAAGAACAAATAAAAGACTAAAAATATAATATATTGTTAGAATTTCCCATCTTTACCTTCACCTACTCCACTACACACTCCACTTCACCTACCTCCACTTCACCACACACTCCACTTCACCTAACCCACTATCACCTCCACTACACCTACTACCACATTTTCTTCTATATATAGATTGTATAGGAATTGTAATTAATCAATCTTGTAAGACATCAATCAATAATACATCAATTTTTACATGGTATCAGAGCTATAGGTTAAGCTCTTGGTGCTCTTCGCCTTCTGGCGGGCGGCAACTTTGCCTTAACCGCCCGCCAGACCTCAACCAATTGAAACCTCCAACACATACCTCCTCTCCAACCACCTTTACTCAATTCAAAAATCTCTCTTACCTTCTAAAATGGCCCTTCCATTTAAACTCTTGTTGGGTAGTCTAATAGTGATGAGCTCTTTGATGGTTAGCTATGGTGGAAACTTCTACCAAGACTTTGACATACCATGGGGTGATCAAAGGGCAAAGATATTCAGTGGAGGTCAGCTTCTGTCTCTGTCTCTAGACAAGACCTCTGGCTCTGGATTTATCTCAAAGAAAGAGTATCTGTTTGGGAGAATTGATATGCAGCTCAACCTTGTTGCAGGCAACTCTGCTGGCACTGTTACTGCCTACTACTTGTTTTCTCAAGGGCCAACACATGATGAGATTGACTTTGAGTTTTTGGGAAACCTTAGTGGTGACCCTTACATTGTTCATACTAGTAATGTGTTCACTCAAGGGAAAGGAAATAGAGAGCAACAGTTCTATCTCTGGTTTGACCCTACCAGAAATTTTCACACCTACTCCATTGTCTGGACCTCCCAGCAAATCATTTTCTTGGTGGATAACACTCCCATAAGGGTATTCAAGAATGGTGAATCAATTGGTGTCCCTTTCCCTAAAAACCAACCCATGAAGATCTACTCTAGCCTCTGGAATGCTGATGACTGGGCCACGAGAGGCGGGCCAGTGAAAGCTGACTGTACAAAAGCACCATTCACAGCATACTACTAGGGCTTCAATGTCCAAACCTGTACTGGTTCTTGCATTCCTTGCCTTTGTGATTGTCCTCCTCCTCTCTCCCTTCTCAAGATTGCTCCTGGCTTGGCAAATCTTTCTGTTACAGACTGTGGAGGAGATGACCCAGATCTCAAAGAGGAGACGGAAAAGCAGTTTGTGGATCTGTTGACAGAGGAGATGAAACTGCAGGAGACAGTGAATGAAGAGCATGCTCACCATATGAACATTACCTTTGCAGAAGCAAGAAGGGTAGCTTCCCAGTATCAGAGGGAGGCAGAAAAATGCAATGCTGCCACAGAGACTTGTGCCCAAGTTTGTCATCTTGTTAAAGCAAACAAATTCACTCTCTCTCTCTCATCTTTCCACTTTCAAACCCACTGCAGCATATGGCGGCCCTCCAAATCGGAACATAAAACTGGCCTTCCGCTTCAGCTCCTTGTTTTCTGCCCTTAGCACGCTTATCTCTGCTCGCGCATCCTTATACATGCGTTGGAGCAGAGCCAGCTGGGCGTTTAATTGCTGCACCTCATTTGTCCTACTCTGCAGCCGGTGCGACAAGTTTGTGACCGCCGTCATGGACTCCACACATGCCTTCAAAGTATACTGATTAGCCTCCACATCCGTTTGCACTGCCATTTTTTGCTCCACCGACCGCATCGGAAAGTTCAACGGAGCAAACTCCGGGGCACTCGGTTGAGGTTCCAGTGCCACCGCTTCAGTTCTCTCTCTTGTTGACTCGTTGAGGTCGGGAAAGAGGGTGAGCAGTCCACGGGAAGACGAGGCCATGTTCTGGGTAGCTGGACGGGAAGAAGAGGCCATGTTGCTGAGTGTTTCAGAGACGGGTTGGTTACAGAGTATTACAGAGTTTCTCTCTCAGAAAAGGAAGAGTTGTTTTCAGAGGATTTTCAGAAGTTTTTTTGTCTGCCTCAGCCTCAGCATCAACCTTGGTTAAATAGCGAGGCAGCCACGCGTATCGCGCGCCACTTGACGCCAGACGACAAACGGGCGCGCCAGTCAAGGCACTCACGTGCCTCGCCATCATGTCCGGCACACCTTTTTATGACTTGGGCTCGCCTTTTGATGGCACGCCTTTTTATGGATTGGGCACGCCTTTTGATGACACGCCTTTTGAGGGTGCAGGCACACCTTTTGAGGGCACGACTTTTTATAGATCCGACAAGACTCTGTAAACTGTCCCGACATTGATTCCGGTTAGCTCCTTATGGGTCCGACAAGACTCTGTAAACTGTCCCGACATAGATTCGGTTAGTTTCTACAAGGGTCGACAAGACTCTGTAAACTGTCCCGACATTGATTCCGGTTAGTTTTCTACAAGGGTCCAGCATGACCCATAAACTTCTTCTACAAACGGTCCGACATGACCCCATAAACTGTCTTCTACAACGGTCCGACATGACCCCACATAACTGTCTTCTCAACGATCCGACATGACCCATAAACTGTCTTCTACATCGGTCTGACACACCATACAGTGTCCTCTACAACGTTATGACACACATACAGTGTCTTCACCAACGGTCTTGACACGACATACAGTGTCCTATCCTTTTTTATTTTTATTTTCTTGTTTTGTTACTCTCTCCAAACTCAAGTTGGTTAGTTCTCTCTCCTTGAGTTTGCGGGCTGTTAGAATTTCCCATCTTTACCTTCACCTACTCCACTACACACTCCACTTCACCTACCTCCACTTCACCACACACTCCACTTCACCTAACCCACTATCACCTCCACTACACCTACTACCACATTTTCTTCTATATATAGATTGTATAGGAATTGTAATTAATCAATCTTGTAAGACATCAATCAATAATACATCAATTTTTACATATATATATATATATATAATTTACAAAAACAAAAAAAAAATAAGAGCAAAAAAAAAAAGGTGATTCGGTATATATAATATAAATCGAAACAGAAAGGAAGAAGAGAAAGAAAGCAAAGCAGCGAAGTAAGAAAAAATGAGAGCAACGAAGAGAAAGTAAGAAGAGCAGTGAAGAAAGAAAAAGAAGACAAGATTCGAACCACAGAGAAGATCGAAGAACAACATCGAAGAGAAAGGAAGAAGAGCAGCGAAGAAGAAGAAGAAACGAAGAAGAAGCATACTTGGTTCGTGCGCGGCAATTTCTGAAATTTGATGTCTAATTTCTCTTTCCCCAATTTGTATTTCCCTAATCGCAGCTCAACTTCTCTTCTCTGCTTTTTTTTGCTCCCGACAAAAGGTTCTTTGCTTTTAAGTCGCCAAAAAACCCTTCAAATCTAGAATGCATGGAGTCACGATCCAGATACGATCCCAACAATCCTTCCATGATCCTACCACGATCCTGATCTGGGGTCGATCCAAAGCATAAGTCGGATCAAATGGTGTATATTGGATCGTAGGATCGTACGATCTGGATCGCGATCTTGACAACCATGGTCGTGACGTGTTGCTCATTTTTGTGTCGTGCTATCTCGTGTTCAAGTCAGAATTCTTTCAACACTAACTCAACCTGTTTGTTTTTTCGTGTTATTGTGTCATGTCATTTGGGATTCGTGTTATGTTAACTTGTATTTCAAAACATTTCCACCACTAATAAAAAATAACGTATATGGAAATATTAAAGTTTATTCCAAAAAGTTAAATTTCATAAACTAATTTCTATTAGATCAAATTATTCATAAAATGTTTAATTTCGACTCAATTTCAATTCTTTAATTTCAAAAAACTAAATCCTTTTTTTTATTACTAGATTGATTGCAGAATATTAATTGAAAAGGTTAGATTATCGCAAATAGAAAACAAAAAGAGTAAATTGAAAAAAATAGTATCATGTTATATTTTTTATTATCTTTGAATGATTTATTTATATATATGATATATAATAAAATATAAAACTACATATTTTGTGTGTGTCCTCGAAGTGTCGTGTCTTGTATTTTTTTAAATTGTCGTGCAGCCGTGTCTGTACTTCTTAGCTTACTCCACATCTACTCAGTGACAGCATGGGGCAGTACCAAGGAAAATGAAAAATGATGGTCAATAATTTTCCAAATGCTGGCTCTTGTTTTGCTGACTGAAGTAATTGTTTCAATCTAACCATTTTGATTCTTTCAATTTATGGTTTGGGAATATAAAAGGCTGAATTCCTACGAAGCACGGATACTCTGAAATGGCCCCATACACGTATCGGATATGGACACGCGTCCAATACGGCGAGATACATATCAGATACAGCAAAGAAGTATCCCAATTTTTTTTTTTAATTTTTTGAATTTCAGATACGTTTGGGATACGCGAGGATATTTCAAGGATACGCTTGGGATACTTTCGGGATACGGCAGGGCAAAAGAATAATTTTAAAAACTTGTAATGGGGTCAAAATGTAAATTAACAAAAACAATCTAAAATAAAACAAAAAAATCAAACAAACAAACCCTAGTTCCTCTCACTCTCAAACTCGAACAGCAACAACAACTCGAACAGCAGCAACAACGTCGTCGTCTCTATAGCAATTCGCGAACAGCAGCAACTCTGAGTCGTCGTCGTCGACGTCGACCAAGGTTCGTCCTTTCTCGCTCTCACTCTCTCTCATTCTCTCTTGCTCTCTCTTGCTTGCTCACTCTCACTCTCCCACTTTTCTGTCAGTGTCACTCAATCTCAGTCCCTCTCTCTCACTCAATCTCACTCTCTCTCTCTCCCTCTCCCTCGATCTCTCTCTTCCTCTCGCTCAATCTCGCTCACTCTCTATCTCTTCATCTCACTTAATCTCACTCTCTCTCCCTCTCACTGTACTAACCCCTTTTTTCTTACTCAGATCATGGGAGATGGGTATGCAATTAGGGCATAGGGTTTTGTCTATTTGGCGGTTAGTACTTTTAGCTTAATTTGCTATATTTTATTGTAAAATTATAATTCCCATTTTCTTTTAAAAGTTTGGTATTAGCCATCTCTGGTTGGTTAGTCAGAAAAATATGAAATTGAAAGGAATATGTTATCTGTGTCTCCCTTTGTCAGTAGAAAGGGGAAAACTGGAAATTCAATTGAGCAGTTGTTAGGATGTGCTTTTCACAACATGTTTTATGCTTCAGGTTAAAAGTCAAAAATTGTTGCAGAAAACATATCTGTGAATGTGAATTTTATTTATTTATTTATTGGCAAATTGGATGAATTTAACAGGGAGGAAAAAAGTATAATCTTGAATGGAGGAAGATATTTAACGAATTGGTAATAAAATCATGGAAAAAAGTATAATCTTTTACTTTAGGTTTTATTTTTATACATACTACATTACTAAAAATTATAAAAATAATATTTTTTACAAACGTATCCCCGCCGTACCCATATCCTAATTTTTCAAATTTTGTCGTATCGCCGTATCCATATCATATCATATCTGTATCACGTATCCGTGCTTCCTAGTTGAATTCCCTTCCTCTCTTAACATCTGATGACCACCCAAGGAACGGGGGTACAGAAAATATACCTATCAAAATTCTGAAGGGAGAAAAAACAAAGTAAAGAGTTTTTGTTTGTTAAACTCACCATAACTCTATGCATAAATCATTTATTTAGGCTTGATTACACAAGTCGGTCAAGCTCCACATATTCAAGTTATCATGATTAAAAAAATAACCATTATAGACATATTGTTTTATATCAAACATTATAGAGAATGGAGAGATCAATAATGACAGATAGTGCTAAGTGACTATATTGTTTCAGAAACTCTGAAGCATTGGATTACATTAAAACTAGATCAGCAAGAAGGTCAAACTGGTAAGAGAACAAGATCATCATATTCTAAGACCCATTCATACCTAGTCAATGCTATTTATGAGAGAGTTTCTAAAATAAAATATAAAATACAGTATAAAATATAAAATAAAAGATATATAAAGGAAATAGAAAGTTATTTAATGCTATGAGTCTCAAGTTAAATAACAATAACAATAATAATAATGTAATAAGCTTTTTTTATGATTCATTATTTAAGACAAGTCAACAATGCAGCATTATATAAGTTAATGCAACTGCAAATTTGGTGGAGGAAAAACCAAAAGCAAAGGCACTCGAAGGTACTAAACCTGGCGTAAAAACCGTAAGCTCCGATAATCAGGTACAAGTCCACCGATATGAGATGTAGAAACAAAAGCATATCCTTGAGTTGGTCTCAAAGGTGAATTTCTCTTGTCAATCTTAAATGTGTACTTCAGAGAGGACAGTAAACCATGTCCAAGCTGCCTCCTTATTGACGTAGATGCCATTTGTGACGGATCCGTTAAGGTACGCCAAGAAAGGTTGTACGACAAATCATGATTCTTGGATGATATTACGCCAAGGGACAGACCCAATGCTTGTTCTTTGTAAGAAGAAAACTTTAGCCAATCTTGTGAAAGTATAGACACTCGAGCTTGCATTGGAGTTTCCAATCCTTTGAATCTAGGCAAGGACACACCAGCACTAACCTCTGAAGTTTGGTCCCAGCTATAAGCCAAAGAACCATCCCACAGGTCCCCGAATCCAAACAAGTTTTTTAGCTTGAGTGATCCTTCAAGTGACCAAGATCTAGCCTACAAAAGCATTTCACAGCATCAAAAACCATGTTTATATTGCAAATGCACATCAGATAGCATATTCAAATGCACCTAACAAATTTGCACAGCACAACTTCTTGAAGACAAACAAATGTAAAAAATCAAGGACAACAAAAATTGAGACAGATTATTTGCTGCTCTATTTAAAATTGGGAGTGTAAGATGGAATATGCATATCATTCTTTTTTCTGCATGTGAGGATGTAGACTCTAGAATGTGTTCTTGAACATGGTCAAGATATCCAGGCAATCCTTGGTGATTTTGCTTCCATAGACAAGGCCACTACCAAATACTGCTAAAAAGACATCTTTACATCCTTCAAGCTTTACATATTCAAGAAACTACTACAACATGTTAACAGAGTGTAAGGTAGGTAATAATTTTTACATTCAGAATTGTACATTTGCATTATGACCTAAAATCTTGTGCCTACAGGCTACACCTACTATAGACAAAGTATAACAGGAGAGAAGAAAAATACTAAAGCATAACTAATATTGTGAATCCATACTCATAAGAAAGTAAATTAAATGCCTGAAAGATGTAGGCGACTGTCACTGTTTTGCCAGCATATCACCACAGTAGTGATTAGGTTTTCAAACAAGACTCTGTCCGTGAAATTTATCACATTGCACATTTTTGTTTTGTTTCAGTCAACTTGAGGAATAGATGTTTGAAGCTAAAGCTTCAAATGATTGCAACCCAACACCCTACCTAAACAGCCTTGTTGGAACATATTGGCTTAATTCCCGATTTTGCTGATTTCAGTCTCATTTGACCTTTTGGCTAGCTCATATTCAAGCTTTCCCATAGATGGGCATCCTCAAGTGCTTTGTACATGTCAATCCTCAAAGGGATGTTAGTCTTCTTCGAGTTCTTATTTGTTTTCCTCCCATACATTTCATTTTGAAGAACATGTAATTTCACAGCTACAGTAGAGCTGCAGAAGATTTCAAATACCTAACTTTGATTCACAGTGCAATAGTGAAAAAAAATAATATAGCTTTTCTTTGTGTCCTGTGCGAGAGAACAAAGTATCACTTTGTTGAGGAAAATATGCCGATATTTGTGCAAATATAGACCAAACACACAGAATGACAATCCAAAAGCACCTGGCCTAGTTTGGGTTATGCACATAACAAATACAAGTAGCATACACTATTGCTAAAAGGAGAAAAAACAGAAATAAGCAATGGTAAAAAATTAATAAAGAGAATAAAAAGCATGTTCTAACTAGCTTACTCCTAAAAAATATCACTCCAGCATCCACTGGTAATAGCCTTAAAAGGATTCAATATCACCTATTTCAGGTCCCTACAGACTGTGTTGGTTCTTCTTAGAATGCAACTTCAGATCACGCTACAAGCAGCTAACACCTCAGAGGGTCAGTTAATCCTTGTCTGTGAATGTGTCACACATTACCAAAATTTTAGTGATCTCATGCCTAGTTTGTTATTTAATATTTTAATCAGATTTAATATCATGATGTAACATGAATCCCATACCAGATAATGGTGCCAATAGAAACCAACCACTATCAGAAGAAGAACATCAGGTAAACTAACAGAACCAGCTACCCTTTGCTTGGAACTGAAATGGTAACATCCAAATGTGTTCTTCACTTTTTCTCGTTATAGACTTTTTTTACCATTACTACTTGCATGAGGAAGCTTGCACCTCACATCCATTTTTATGATAAAATTAGGTGTAAGGGTCTATACTGTACCGTACATGCCGTAATTTCTCATTCCATCTTCGTATATACAAGCAGCATTGGGTCCTAAAGCTAGTTCATGGAAGCTCATTCCATCTTTAAATGACATTATAAGCAATAGGGCTCTAATACAGTTTTACAAGCCCTAATTTCTCATACTATCAGGCTTGTTGCACCTAAGAACTTCCAACAGCATAATCCTACTATCAACTCTCAAATGCACAATGAGATTATTCATAAACTCAACAGGAACACATCAATCATCAATATATTCAACACAAAACAATAAAGTACTAGTTCAAACTAATAAACAAGCAATCCTAAATCAAAAACGCCATGAAATCCGATACCTCGGGCTTTGAGAATATGCCAATGTCGCCAGTGAGAGGGTTTTTAGACTCGACAACCTCGACAACGACATTCGCAGTCCCTGGCAACTCAGGCGGCCCCGAATCGAGCGTGATGTTGACGGAATCGAAGATATCGAGGCTGTGAAGACGAGAGTTGGCTATCGAAGCGGCCTGAAGAAGCTCCTGAACCGTGGTGGCTTTCTTGATGCATTCGACCTCGGCTTCGATGAGCGAGTCCTTGGTCTTCGTGTTGCCCTTGATCACCAAGTCGTGGACTCGCAGGGGAACTCTCTCCGTCGAAATTCGCTGGAATAGGTTCTCCATTTTAGCCCTCTCAAAACGCGTTCTCGACACTGTTTCTTCTTCTTCCTCTTCGTCTTCGAAGTCATCATCGTCCTCGTCCTCGTCCTCGTCCTCGTCTTCGTCGTCGCCATTAAAGGGTTGTTGGTCTTCTTCGTCGGGAATTGGTGCTTGTTCCTCTGGCTTTTCTTCGACCGAAACAGCCATGGAGAGATAGACTTGGAAGTGAAGGGGGAGAGAGAGAGAGAGAGACACGGCGATGGTTGTCGTGGGGTTATGTACAGATCGGATACCTTGCTTTGCTTGCTCCCTACTATGCCTATATTTTTTTTTCATTCAATAAATTCAATTTTGGGCAAATTGCCTACACCTCCTTAAAATTTAACTAAACTACATATTCTTTTGAGGTGTTAGAAATTATATCTTACCTCCAAGATTTATATTCACATAACAATTTAACCCCTATCGTTAACTAAATATTAAGAATAGTTAGCTGACGTCATCAAAATATAAATTGATGGATAATATTATCCCTGCTGAAATCCCTTTGATAAATCAATAAAATTTATAAAAGAATTACGTTAGATAAAAAAAAAAAATTTGGAACCATGTTTGATTTGTTATTTAGAAAAAAAAAAACAGAATTTAAAAAAAAATAAAATAAAAACTAATTTAATAAAAATAAATATGAAAATTATATTTAATTTGTAAAAATTATTTCCAACCACTCAAAAGATAAAATTCTATAAAAATATTTTTTATTTTTTATTTTTTATTTCTTAACCAAATTATTTTTTAATTTAACTAGTTCATTGACGTTGTGAATATTTTTATGAACTGGTTCTTTGTAAAAAAGATGGACTGGTTGGGGTTTAAGAACATAATCTATTCTTGTAGTTCAATATGGATTATTAAGCGTTTGTTTGGGAAGGGCTCAATAGCTATATGAGCCACATGCGACAAAACACGCTTGCTAGGGTTGGAGAGGAACCCTTCTACGGGTAAATTGACCAAAATACCCTCACATTTCTTTCCTTTCTTCATGTCGTCCAACGCCTCACCACACACACACAACACAACCCAACGGTCCTAGGGCACGGAAGAAGCGAGCGAGGCGATCTCTCCCAACCACCGGCGACACCATCAAAATACGGTTTCGCAGAGGCGATCGGCACCGGAGTAGGCTTCTGGTGGCGGAGAACAAGACCGAACCCTGTTCGATACACCACCGATTAACTGGTAACTCTTCCAAACCCATTCTGATTTCGTAGATCTTAATGTCCAATGCTTCATGAATGGAATGATTTTATTTTTTTCTACTTTTTTCCTTCCCCCACTTCAGATCGCACTGTATTTTGGCCTGTATTGATGATATGTCGTTGTAGATTTGCCGATCTGGGGATATTGACATTTTTTCCTTGTTAATTTTTAAGTCACAGTTCGAAATTTGTTGTTTCAGTTGTTATGAGACTCCAACTTTGGGCAAAACAAACCCATATGTCCCTCAAACATGGTTGATTCTTCTATATTTTTCCTCTCCAAAATCTGTTCTTCATTTATACATATTATAAAATTATGTTTACATTTTCACCAAGTAAATAAATACTTACAATTTAATATTTTTCTGATAAGTACAAAAATTAATTAACGAACAAAAAAAAATTAAAATTAATATACATTTTTCTGTAAATTAACAAAAAAATTTAATGAATAAATGGTAACAAAAAAATTTCGTATAAATAAATATTTGTTCTTTATTAATTAACATTTTTCTGTAAGTAAATTATTATTTTTTTTCAGATTCTGTTCTTAATGAATAAATTATTTCAGATTCTGTTCTTAATGAATAAAAAATTTCGTATTCTGTTCTTAATGAATAAAAAATTTCGTGTAAATAAAAAAAAAAAATTTTCAGATTTTGTTCTTAAGTAAATAGTCACATTGTAATTTACATTTTTCTAATTATATTCAGATACAATAATAAATTTGTTAATATTTTTAAAAAATATATATACTCATTCATAAATTGTAATTTACGAAGATAATGTTTACGAACAATGTTAAGACAAAATTACACAATAAAATTACAATATTACACAAGTTTACTCCCCAAGTGAATATGTTTCTCATTTTATTATTAATTCTGAATGAGCACTGTGAATGCACTTACGGTTTTGTCAATGCATTTCTGATTATGGTAAAACATTGTGATGAAACACTCTGATTCTTGTGAATGCATGTCGAATGTTACGAATTCAGTACATGAATGAATTCTGAATTATCAAATTAATGTATACATAAATTCAGCAGCTTGTCTCTACCCAGTTGCTATTGGTATTTTCAATGACCACTGCGAATGCATGTCTGATTCTGTGAAATACCTATTGAGGAAAAACGAAATCACTTTTTCTAGTTACGAAATATTTTTACCAAACAAGTATGTCCATTTTTCATGTGCATGTCAATTGTGTTATACTTTCATCTGCAATGTTAAAAATAAGTACAATCTTGCATGTTATATATATTTTTTTAGTATTGTCAAACACTTGAGTTAACCAACTGAAAATAATTTGACATATTTTACTAGTCTAGTAATAATGAGTGTCCATGATCGGAATCAAAAACTTTTTTTTTGTTAAGATTTGTATGTTTCGTTGTTCATTCATGTACATTTAAAAAAAATTACGCTATTGTTTGTAAATCGTAGCATGGCTTCGTTTACCTCTACTGCAACTTCCAATACATAGCCACGAATGTGTGCCTATGGACATGGACCCTGTGTTGTTAAGATTTCCAGGTCCACCAAAAATCCAGGGCGTCCCTACTTTGCATGCCCCCGCCCTTTGGTGAGTGACCCATTATTTTAGGTCACAATTGTCCTTTGTTAACAACCCATGAAACTAATAGTTTCATAATTTGCACTCATCAGCCCTGTGTCAGTTGGATTGGTTGGTGCGATGAACCCAGGCGAGAAAACCAAGACTATACGTCACCCAGGGATGAATTTGTCATGCAATTGCAGGCTGATGTCATCGACATTCAACAATCCTTCCGTGTCCTTAAGACCATCGTGTATGTGCTATGCATTGTCGTTGTCGTTTTGTTGTTCCGTATGTAAGCAACGTTAAAAAATATTTCAATACGTACAAACACGTTACTATGTTGGTTGTTTATTGGTTGTACGTACAATAGTATGTACGAATACGTTACTATGTTGGTAGTTTCGAAACGGTAGACGTATTAATGACTATCATAACTATGTGCAATACTAACTTCCATGGAACCTGTGGTAGTATAAAATTAATGTGCAATGGTTAACTGCTACGTTATTTAGCATCCTATCTCTCTGTTTCTGTGTTATTAATGTGTAATGGCTTATGAGTTTGTATATAACAACCGTATGTGTGATGGTAATCTTTTGTAACCGAACATTAGTAATGGTTTCCATACGTACTTCTCCGCGTACCCAATCCAAAAGCAAAGGCATTGTCACTGACAAGTCAAGCAGTCTTGAAGATACACACAATCATTTAAGCCACAAGGCCACATGGGACAGTGCCTCAACCCGAGTTTTCCTGCAATTGATTACGAATGAGATAACTAAAGGCAATCGCCCATTCCTAGTCCTCAGCCAAGTAGGGTACAAGTCCTTGGCAAGAAAATTTGAGAGAAAAACAGGAAGAAAACATGCACTCAAACAGTTGAAGAATAAGTACATGCGTTTGAAAAAAGAGTGGCAAGCGTGGACAAAGTTGATGGATTCAAGCAAAGGAGTGTCAGGGATAGGGTTTGACTGTGACACCGGTATGTTTCAGGCCCCTGAGGAGTGGTGGGACAAAATGGAATCGGTAAGTACATGTACTCTTATATTTCATATGTGTCATTTACCAGTACATTTTTAACTTTTGTAGTTAAATTTTTATTAATTATATGAAATGTAACATCATTCTCTTTCATATATCTCTATTTGAACAGATAAACAAGGTGTGTGCCAAGTTTAGGAAAAAAACCTTGGAACATCGTGACTTGATGGAGACCGTCTTCATGGGGGCATCAGCTACTGGGAAGCACCATTGGACCCCGGGCGAGGAACTTCCTGAAGTTGCTGAGGACTCATCTGATTCAGTGCACAGTTTGGGGGCCCAACCATTTGCTGATCCGATACCCGCAGGAGTACAGGACGTGGATTCAGATTCTTCACTGGAGCATGTTCTGATCGAAAAGGGAAAAAAGGGAAAGACGCCATTAAGCAGTGTTTCAAAGTCCAAGAAGGCAACAAGTGGAGCGTCAGTTATTGCGAAAAGCATGAACACTCTGACAGATGTGGTGCGTACAAAGAATCAGCAGGTTACATTGAGGCACGTCACAGACAACGAATCGTTTTTTACTATTTCAGAGTGCATGCATCGCCTGACAGGTATTACATCGCTAGTTGGTACGCCCTTATTCCACTTCGCCACATCACTTATGGATAATGCCGATTTACAGGAGGTGATGATGTGCCAGCCTGATGACGACTCTATCATAGGGTGGCTTACCCAGAAGCAGCTCCAGTGCACTACGTCGGCGCCTTTTGCAAATCTGTTCGGGGCTCGCCGAATGTGATGTAGCACTGTTACGAGTGTTGAATATGCCTTTCCTTCTCTTGCATTCTATAAACTTTTACTTATGTTTTTTGTTGGCACTGTATTCAAATAGGATGGTTGTGTGTGCACTTTTTTTAATCTTTCCTTCGTTTATGTTTTTTCTTGCAACGTATGGTTTCCAAAACTTTTAGGTATGGATATGAATGGGACATGAATGGGATGCTGTTATGAAATAGGGTGGTTGTGTGTGCACGCTTTGTGAGACATGAATGGGGTGCTTCTGTTCAAATTAAATGTATGGATATTTTGTAGAATTGGGTACAACGGATTTCCTTGCTAGCTTTGTGTATGTTTATATTTTCCAAAGTACGATGTTAGTTTCATATCTTCTGTTCAACTTTTGTGGTTGTCACCACCATGGTCGCCCTGTATCACAAAAGTTTAGCAGGTTCACAATTTTTCCATTTTTCATATCATTATGCGTTAAAAAATACATTTGTGACGGCAGTCCGTAAATTAGGTTGTGAACATATTGAATTTTTAGTATTCCAAATTTTGAAATTAATTGACTCGATGAAGGGGAAGCAAACTGATTGAAACAGTGCCACTCTTGTAGGTTTCGCATCAACGAAGACGTAATGAATCCCTGGGATAGAAGCTACAACGACGGAATAATGGAAATGCTTAATCAAATGGCAGTCCAGGTGCAACAAGAACACAACTGCACATT